AACGGGCCCAAAAAAATTTCGCTCCATGGACTAAGCCTCAGAAAATTTTCCATTAAAAACCACACAACATTATTTCGGGTCGGGTCATCATCCGGATCACATATACAAACTAGACTCCATAAAAATAAACCAACATAAGCTTGGTTTCTAATAGTCACACCAGACCGGCCCAAACCCAAACCCAAACTCAAACCAAAAAAGAGAAGGCCATTCCAGTCATTTGGATTTGGAGGGAAAGGAGGAATAAACCTAGACGCAAATAATTTAAGACGTTGACGGCGACGCCATGTCAAGTGGTGGTTGTACTATTGTGGGAGTGGGAAGCCTCGTGGAAGCAACCAAGAAATTGCATGGCATTGGCATGCCCTTAAAAACAAACAAATTCTGTATTCTTTTTATTTCGTTCATTGCCTGCATGCACCAATCGGACATGGAAGGGGGAAGCACCAAGAGGAAGGCTTGCGACGAAGAAGAGCAAATGGAGAAATTCTTTGCTCTGATCCGAAGCAGTCGGGAAGCTCGTGAATATATTGTGAATGGTATTGGTGGCGCCCGTGATGATGATGAATTCAAGGACAAGGCCATAAACAAGAAGAAGAGGCACAAGGTTGAGGAAGACAAGCCAAACGCAGTTTGGAATCCATCGTTCCAACTAGAAGATTTCTTGGACGATCCCCAACTGATCAAGAACCCTCAAATATCTGCTGTGACTTCTTCTCAAAGCAAAGAAGGAAGCAAGGAAGAAGATATGGAAAAAGGTTTGGACCTTAAGCTTTCACTTTAATTAGTTGTTAAATAAAGTCTGAAAATATTGAATGGGATTCAATGGTGATGGTTTAATGTTATATATATATATATATATGAATATGAGCAATCCATAGATTTGGCAGTCCACAAACATATATAGAATTTATTCACTAAACCTATTCTTCGGGGTTGGAATGACTTTATCTTACTACCAAATTAACTAGCATTTTAGTTATTCAAAGACTCAGTTAGTCGGTTATATTCTAAATGAAATGAAATCCGGAATTCAAATTTATAAAAAGTGAGGTGGTGTTTGCATCCCTTTTAAATGATTGATTTCATAATATTAATCATGGTTATGGGGACATGAGATGTTGGCCCACTGTAATTGAATATATATAACTGTTAATTGCGAATCTCTATAGTGTCATATATTAATGTAAATTGCAACGTTAAAGGAATGGTGGTGGACACCGAACGTTGTTGATGGTCGTGAATTTGTTGACTTGATCAGTTTTTTTCACCGTTACAGGCCGCAGCCCACTTAGTTTTGCTGACCTAATCATCCTCTTCAATGGGTTACCCATTCAACATAATCTATTTTCAGAGCAGCACATGCAAATGCAATTCCTAAACCGAACGCTGCTGTAGCTAGCTAGTGTGTGAAGAAATATCAATCCGCTTAGGTAAGTGTCTACATCGAGTGAGTGGTCCATCGTACCACTATTTAAATAAATATTGGATGTAATTGTGATATTATATCATCATTATCATCATCGTCATGTGATATTTTAATTTAATAAAAAACTTTCAAGTGACCAAAATGAAACATATTTGATGGTTATTTTTACCGAATGACATAGAAAGATAATTATTAAAATATGTGGGATTTATTTGTCTATATGTAAGTTAAGTTTTTTATTAGATAATGATACCATGGTGACAATATTTAAGTGGACCCTCCAGAAAGTTATCCTCGACGACTTAAACTTGTGAGATTAATTCAACTCTAGACAACAACTTGGGATCAAATGTCATCCACTCGTAGCCATTAATTCTTGGATGGGAAAAAACCCAATTTTGTTTGGACCTAATTTCACAATACCATCCATGCTGAAGTGATAAAGCCCGCTTTCGCTCTCTACGAGACTACATCATCAACATCAATTTATTTTATTATACTATAAAACAATTAATCCCACAGAGATTAAAGACATCGAGAAGGTTTCTTTCCCTAAATACTAATTTATTAAAAATTTGAAATATTTAAATAATTAATTCCAATCAAAACATTACATGTATTTTTTGTAATTATTCCTACCATTTTTTTAAAACTACTTTAAAATTTAAAAATTCAATTATTTTTATGAATTATTTAAGATATAAATAAATATTATTTTAATACTAATAAAAATTATGCAGAGATATTACGGTAACAAAAAATTTGATAGTAAAAAGATACTAATATGAAAAGTTAATAAATTTTTTGTCTCGCGTGGTTCACCACGTGTTTTTTTTTTTGCCCACTGAATATGACTAGGTTGGGTTGCGTTCCCGCGAAAATTCAATATTGCTTTTGACGATAATCAATCAACGAGAAACACGAAATTAAACATGACGTCACCCAACATATGTCATCAGCGAACATTACGTTGTAGCCAACGACGTAAGCACCTAACGTCAGCAGTGCCCCCGTCAAGGTGCAATTACCAGAAGGCCCCACCCCACCCCACCCCACCCCAATTAAATACCGAAGAAGCGCCAGCTAGGCAGCTAACATCCTGGTCTCCAGGGTATTTCAGTCTTTCCCTATAGCACAGAACATCAACACTCCATAAATTCTTCCTGGTGGGACAATTTGAAGACGGCACGAACGATCGAGAGAGTTGAACACGTAGGTTACGTTCCCAAGTTTGGTTTGGTGGAACGAGAATCGCATGCTGTTTCAGCTTTTTTCACAATCCATCTTTCATTCATCAATCAAACATGGAAAATGAGAATAGAGAGAGAAATGCTTACAGTGCAGAAGATGATCAGCCGGAGGAAGAGAAGATGGAGAAGTTCTTTGCCTTGATCACAAAATTTCACGACGCTCGCAATCAATTGCTCATCAGTAAAATGGAGAAGAAGGAGAACAAGAGGAGGAAGACGAAGTCAGATGAGCCGCAGCAATCAAGTTGGGTTCCTACCTTCAAACTCGAAGATTTTGCGGAAGAGATCGATTTTAAAAGGCTTCCTGTGATTTTCCCTGATCCTTGTAACAAGAAAGAAGACGAGGAAGATCAAGAAGGTCGCTTAGACCTCAAACTTACTCTCTAGAGCGTAGAGTTGGTTCTTGTTTTTAGCCTCTCTTTTGGTTTCGTTTTTTTTTTTTGTTTTTTTTTTTCTGTTTATGTTTTATGGAACTTATAATATGTATAAACCCAGCTAGCGTATAAAATTATCAGCACAGAGCTTGCACATGGATATATAGCATAAAATGAAAGTACGAAAATAAAGAGGTGGTTGCAGAGGGATCCAAAAGTGGTGGGTGGATATGTGTGCGATTGAGTGATAGTTTTGCAGGTGGCGGTGAGTTGAATAGCTGCTTTCTATTGTTTGTTAGACCTAATAGTATCGAATAAAAAATTAATTTTGACTTATGGAATTCATAATAATCATTTTTGATAGATATATATGAAATAAAAAATTTCACGAGAAGAATATTAAAAATATCAAATATAGTCACAAATTTTATTCTCAGTAGATTATTGATAGATTTTTAGGGAGCGAGAGATATTGTAAGTATGAATAAGAGATGCGTTTCTCAGGTAATTTATATCTCTCTCATTGGTAATTAACTGTCTAACGTTAAAATTATAAGAATGAAATTAAATTTTTAAGATTTTTATTGAATTCTTATTTTAATCATGTTTAAATTATAAATTTCAATTATATATTTTTTAATTGAGTTTTGAATTTTGAATTACATAATTTTATCTAATTTATTATGAATATTAAAGAATAAAATTTAGTCTTACGATTATTCAAGGCTAAACAATAAAAACCATAGAAAAAGACGCCATATGCCAAACGGCCGAAAAAACTTGAATAGTGGTTTTTGTCGTAGGTTGAATAGTCGTGTGTACGTTACATCCACAACGACTATATAAGGGGTTTTTGAGATACTGTAATGAAAATTCACTCCAGAATCTTTCAATAACTTTTCTTTTCATACTTGACATATTTTTTAATTATTTATTATTATTTTATTTTTGAGATAATTCGATTCGAGTCAGATTCACTTCAATCTTCTAGTGAATGTGACCATTGAGAATGTGCTGCTGCGAATATCTGAGTTGGATCTTGGAGTCGCTGGTGTCCGTCAGTACCTTTACATGGGAAGACTCAACTGCTTTAGGACAGTGATCACACGGCTATCGAACTCGCATGCCAGCTCATTTCAAATTAATTTATTTAGTTTATTTAGATTGCATGTTTATACATTTTCTGTATTTATTTAAATTACATGTTATATGTTCTAACTATTGTTTGCACGTGTTTATTTCGAATTTTAGATTACAACACTCATAGTTATATTGCTCACATCATAATTCTAATAATTGTTGATTTAGCCAAAAGTTTAGTAACAATTTTTATTAATTCCAATTATAAATATATGCTTATAAACTATAATTATTTTTACAAAAATAATCAGTAACCGTTTCCTTCCATTAAGATAACTTCTAGGCATGTGTTCTTGGTCCTTAGGACACCACTTACACATACAAACTACCTACTAACCCTAACCAACATGTGTTAGGTAATTTAATTAGGATATATTTATCCCAAAATTTAAGTCTGTACCTTGTTAATTAAGGTCCACATGTGAGTCCTATTAAATAGGTTCCAACATTGTTGAGAAGCGATAACTCATGAAAATAAACAATCCACATAAAACAGAGTTCGTATGACTGACTGAAAAATCTAGTTAGTTCACTCTAATGAAAATTTCTTATTCATTAATTTATATTATTTGAAAAAAAAATTGGTACAATAAAATTCAATAATTATCTACATAGGACGTTCTCTCATATTCAAACAGGAACAAACTTTTGTCAATATTTAAGATTGTCTGTTCTACGTGTCCTTCTTGAAATGATGCGGTGTCAAGGTTGGGGTGGCTTGATGGACCCAGTTCTTCCTGAGATGTGCATCTTTTGAGCTTTTGTGATCATCGGCCAAGTTGATTAAATATCATTTGGTGGCCTCAGAGATGCTCTTCCTCAACTTGGTTGAGCTTTGTAATCGAGCTGCACTAGATTATGTCAAGCTCCGACTACGTAAGCAAAGGACTCAAGCCGTTGACTAATCATGTCAATTCTATAATTTATGGTCAAGTCGATTTGTCGAAGTATCTAATTCTGATCCGTGATCCCATAATTTATACTAGCAATAATTCTATGCCTAAAAATATTATTATGTACGATAAAATCAAACATTGATGTCATATTTTAAATATTATTTTTTTAATTATATTATTTAAAATTAAAGTGAATAAAGAGAAAATAAAAGATAAATAGATGTAGATTAATGAGATTATTTGGTATTAAAAAGTGTGTTGGTTGAGTTATAACATTAAAGATATTTTTGAGAAAAATAAATAAATAAATTTAAGAATAAATTTTGACCCTTATTACACAACAATAGCAGTTGCTTTGTACTTGAAATCAATGAGTATAATGTAGTGAACAGTTTGAATGAGACTTTGTGGCTCGTGGTTTTCGCGACGAGTAATGTTATTGAGATTTAATTTATTAATTTAATGATATAAATTTATTAAAATTATTAAATTAATATTAAATTTTAATATTTAATTTGAGGAGAGAGAAAGAGAGAGAGAGCAACAATAATAATAAAAAAAATTAAGGAGGACAGGGAGATTGACTCACAAAATAAATCTATGGATTACAAGCCAGCCAAAACCTAATGGTCCTGAGTCTGACTGAGGAGTAAATATTGAATGCAACTGTAATACCACGTCACTATTGATGATATGATATCACCTATTAATAATAAAATCCAAAATAGGAAAGGTAAACTTCATTTGGGCTTATATGGCAAGAGGGTGAGAAGTTATTTGTTTAAATAGCAGGTTAGTTATTGATTTTTGTGGGTTCCATATGCTTATTTATTTTAGTACTATTAGTTGGTGATATCACATCACCTTACCACGCGGTATCACCGAATGAATATTTTCTCTTGTGCCTGACTCAGACTTGTGAGGTGGTTGGGTTGGGATGGGTTGGGTTGGGTCTTATTCACGTCATTGTAAAACTTCCGAGTCTGTAAAGTCACAAACACGGCAATACCAATACAACTTTGCTATGTTTGATTTCAATCACATTTCAACTGACGCTTCATCATTTCAATTTTTGGAGTAAAAATCTCTTGTTGTAAAACATTAAAATGATAATCAACCACCAAATTAATGTTAACCTTTATTCACACTTCCATAGAGTCAAGTACATAGAAAAATGCTTTTTTGTATCTAATTTACTGACTTGATCATAGTCATTAAATTAAGCTGCAGATTTCTAAAGGCATGGAAAATTTTCAAACTTAATTGCAGGCGTAGAGTAATTTGTAGAGAGTATTTTGGAGGCAACAAAGGCATTGGCAGCTTCTGTATAGTGAACTCCATCCCAGCTAATGTATCCAGACCCTTCCTTGCACACTTCATAACCAGCTTGCCCACACTTGATGTCCGCATTGTAGTTGTATGGCGGTCCACCATGGCCACAACATGCCATTAGAGGGTTCTCAAATCCTGTCATTTGTATGCACACAAATCAGTTATCTATTGTAACCCCCCCATCACTATTGATCATCAATGGCTGGAAATCAAAGTCTTTATCATGATATTTCTGCTGGTGTACCATTATTACGAGACAGAAAATGAAATTTTCAATACTCACCGTATATAGCAGAATGGGCAATGAGGTCATACTTAATTGCATAAACATCGACGTACACAATAGTAGCATTCTTCATTTCGGATCTCAGTTGTTCGCATAGTTCCCTTAATTTTTCGTTAAATAATTGTGCACCTTCATTCAGACTCTGTAGACATCCATGCTTATCAAAAATCCTTGCATTTTCATTGCTTGTGGCAAGTTTTTGAGGCAAACAACCCAATGGCCCGGTGTTGTGTACCCAGAAATTCTTCCCACCATGTTGATACAGGCTCTAAATTTGAAAGGAGGAAGAATCAAAAAGAGTCTTGAAAATCACAGCTTATTTTCAATTAAGAATATAACATGACTACATGAATGAAATAATCAGAGGGGAATTTCCTTCTAGGGAAGTGAAAAGACTAACCCAGATAGCATCTTTAATTTCGGAGATGAAAGAAGGGATTTGTTCGGTAACTTGCACAAATGAAAGGTGACCAAATGCCGCAGATAGATCATTTTGTCCAATGTCTATGGTGTAAAGAGCGTTCTTGAAATCCTCATCCCCAACCAAATATTTGACACCTATTGAATTTTTTTATAACTATTATGAAATTTTCCTGAAGATTGTTCTACAATATCGTTCAAAAATCATACCTTTAGATACAAACTCGAGGGAGCGGTTGTGGAATCGATTGAACTGAAGAATTTGAACATCCAGACTGAATAGAACAGATCTAGGAAGAGTTGATGAACCACTTATCGCAAAATTAGCTCCATTAGTAAAGTTTTGTCCTGACGATTCCAGATATGGAGTCAAATAATTAGAGTTCAAACTTTCGCCTGCGAAGAAACAGAAAGTAATCATGAGATCACAAAAATAAATAAAAAAACATTCATACAATGTTTCCCTTGTAATTTTTACATCCAAGGATTTATTTTTTAGGTTATGATTATGAAGGTCACAAAAACGCATATCTCCAGATGCTTGGAATGACAATGCATGTGGAATACATTTCCCACGATGCAGAGAAGTAAACAGAGTAACCAACTCTAAATCAAAATGACAATCGTCGTGGCATCACTAATGAAGGCACTGTCACAACATTTACTTTTGGGAAAGGTCCTGAAAGAACTCTGACGATAACGGTGGGTGACAAGTTGGCAAAGGAATTCAAACTTGACAGTACTTGCTTTTGCATCAATAAACTTATGTATTAGCATGTCAATGGTGGGAATTAGTTGACAAAACTCCATAGACATAGATCCCACAAGCTGGAGAATTTGTGACTCATTCAAAAACACGAAATTACAAAGCGGAAACAGATGATATATGCCCAAATGACTCCGAAACACAAGTGAGAATGAATTGCTGCATGTTCAAGAAGCGGTCTGAATGTTATATCTGAGATTTGCCAATCTCTGCACCAAGTAAAACCAAATTCATTGCCCAAAAGATGAAAAAGTTAGATGATTCACAAGACCATAACCCAGAGTAGTGTAACTTTACAAGCCTGGTGGTAAAAACCATGTAGAAACATGGGAGGGAAATAAACAATATTTAGCTAATCAACTTACATAGGTAATCAATGACTAATCGTCCATCACACCAACGTCCTGCTGACTGATGGTAGAAGTTACGCCCCTCTGGAGGTCCGAAGATCATTCCATGTGCAGCAGCATAACCTCCAGTGTCGGAGTTGGAGTCACCAAAGTTGAAAATGACCGGATTTCTATTGCACTGAGAATGAACAAAAAGAGGAAGGGAAAGATCAAGAATAATAAGAAATGTGAGGGGAGGAAGAAGATTGGGTCTTTCCTTCACATCCATGCTTATCCTGCTTTAATTTGTTTCTAATCTATATATATAACTGCAACTATATAGTGATGACAGTAAGAGAAACATTGCCTACACGCAAAGGGCATTAATTTGTAATTTTAGAGAGTAATGATGACAGATGAGAATTATTTAGACATTTATTATTCTCACATGTGATTCGAACAGGTGATTTACATCATAGCAAATTTGGTAGGAGCCAGGAGGCCATACAAAATCACAAATAGATGGAACAAGCCCATTACTTGGATGAATTCCTCACAATCCTTGAAATTTTTTTCTTGATCTCAACTAATGTGTCATTCATTGCCTTTCGACTTTACCTTAACTAAGTTTTCCTGCACAAGGACAATTTATATCGAATCTGATGTTAAAAGCTTACCACATAACTATGGTCTATACATGTTGAAAGCTTACTACATCATGCAGCTTTGGCAACATTTGTTAAATCCTGCAAATGCTTGCGGACAATTGTCATGAAAATCCTTCATCTTGGATTGGTTGAGCTCTTGATCCTTCAATAAATGGTTCTGCAGCATCATTGGGAAACCTAAGACACACAACGTGTTCAAGGACAGTGTCTGTTTTGCTTCATGGAGCAAAGTTTAATGAAACTAATTCAATGGCCTGTATTTGTGTATCTTAACTTTTGTTCCTACCATAGTGATGCATTCCTGAATGAATGGAAGAATGTCCCAGAAAGATCAAATACATGGGCAAGATATAATGTACTAATTTTAAATGAGTAACAAACACCTAACCCAGAAACGATGATGAAAAATTTTAGTGAGAACTCCTCAAAAAAAATAGATTAATAATATTTGCAAATGAAAATGGGAATAATTAACTGATCAAATGAACCAGCCAGATTATTTTGTTTGATCTTGATTCTATAAATTTCAATCCTTTTAAATACTCATTCCCCAACCCAATTGGAATGTAGATGAAAAAGATTATTAGAATTCAATTTTTTCTTTAACCAGAAAGATATGCTTCAAGTAGTCTTCAACCCATCAACGAAAGCTAAAGCAATGTTATCCTCTAACCCCTTTTGACACTAGCAGAGAGAAGATACAAGCATAGAAACTGAAACATATATTATAGCTAGCAGGTTGAGGAAAGGGGAAAAATAAAAGAAAGAAATATCAAAAGAGAACCAACCAGATTTGAAATAAGGAGCCAAAAATCGGGATAGTGCATACAGATAACGGTACAGAAACTTACGAGGAAGCAAAATTATTCATAAGCTATCAGTAACAAAAGTAACTAAACTCGATTTGAGGTTTAGAGTAATTTGTAGAAAGTATCTTCGAGGCCACGATTGCGTTGGCAGCTTCCGTGTAGTGAACTCCATCCCAACTTATGTTCTGAGCCCATTCCTTGCAGACATGATAACCTGTTTGGCCACATGAAGTGTTAGGATTGTAGTTGTATGGCGGCCCACCATAGCTGCAAAAGCCATCAAAGGATTCTCAAAACCTGTCAGTCAATTAAACCCTCAAATCATCATTGACAACTTAGTTTTAGACTCAACTGTGTTCATGGGGATAATTCATAAAATTTCAAAACTCACACCATATATAGCAGAATTGGCAAATGAGATCGTTCTTAATGGCGTATATATCCAAATATACAATTGTGGCATTCTTCATTTCAGACCGCAGTTTGTCACACATGGCACTTAATTCATTGTTAAATGCAATTGCACCTTGATTAAGAGACTGCAAGCGTCCATACTGATCGACATCACTAGAATTCATGCTTCTTGTGGCAAGTTTCTGAGGCAAACATCCCAATGGCCCGGTATTGTGTACCCAAAAATTCCCCCCACCATGTTGATGTATGCTCTACATTAGATTTGAAAAGGAAATCACTACAAAATATCAAAGGCACAACACAATATGATTAAGAATGTGAAAAGAGAATAGATCCAATAGAATGATTAAACATCTCTAACAATGACAAGAAAGACGAGAACAAATCCAATTAACAGTGAGAAGAAAAAACTTACTCACATTGCATCTTTAATTTCAGAGATGAAAGAAGGGATTATATGTAATATCATCACTAAATGTCGTACCTTTAGATGTTAGATAAAGGGAGCGAGTTTGGAACATAATGAATTGAAGATCCGAATATCCAAGCTAAACGGAACATATCTAGGGAGAGTAGGCGAACCACTTGTTGCAAAATTAGCTCCATTAGTGAAGTCTGATCCCAAAGATTGTAGCTATGGACTCAAAAAACTAATATGCAAGCTTTCGCCTGTTAAAAACACAAATTGTCATACGATGAAAAAATAACATCGACTGATGGTATTGTTTGAACTTTGAACCTCGTACCTGGAAAAATGTAGAGTAGATGGATGCATGCAAAGTGCAAATTTTCATGCCAGATAGTATAATGTGTCTTTTTCTTTATATATATATATATATATATATATAATAATTTGTCCCCACACGGCATGTATTAAGTAAGTGACAGGGGGACCCATTGGTAGATGGAATGCATTTTCCTCATGTTTCCTTTCTCTCTCTAACGAGGAGCACTTCGTTTTAGTTGTGATGGTACCGTGTTATTGTGGATATCTATTTTTGATTGAAGCAAAAAGATTAATCAAGATGTGCATATTCGAACACTATAATGCCACCGTATACAAATGAAAGCAGACCAACTAATAACCAACCACAAATGCAGTGGCTGTCAAAACCCTCACTACGGGTTTTGTGTTAGAATTTCGACTTTGTACCACTCAGTGTGAGCCTGCTTGTTACTTACCAGATAGATAGGAAGATTATTGAGCTACTCTACTCTCAATTATGTCCTGTTGGATTTTTATGGATTGATTTTTATTCCACACAATGTAATGTAATGTTGCTGCATGCATCACTGATTGGTTTTGGTCAATTTATGAGCAAAAGTTTTTGAGTTCCTCCCACTGTGAATATAGTTTTGATATGTGATTAATGGAAGAGTTAACCATTAATTACATTTGAAATGAAAGAATGTTTATTTGTACACCGAGATCGTCTTGTAAAATACATGGAATTTATCCCACCCTTTATTGTCAGCTCTATGCTCATTTCCACCCCCAACATTATTGAAAAATATTCACTAAAAAGTTAAAATTGACTTTATTAAAATGAATAAATATAATATTGAAAAATTTAAATGTCAAGTGATTAGATAAGCGACATACATGAAAGAACTTAATTGAAAGAGACTATTTAAATTATTAGAAATTCTGAAAAAATAATATTTATAAATAAAGACTTCTCCAAGTCTATCTTCTAAAATTTGATTATTATAGATTACATCAAGTATAAGTGGTGTTTCAACACAGTATACACAATGCAAACACATAGACCAACTACCTAAAACGAACAATACTTGGAGAAGGAATATTAATTGCATATGGGTGTACCCTCCTTTAAAGTTTAGTTTAGTTTAGGGTGGATGATGGTTATCAATAAAAATTAAATTAAATTAAATTAATTGATGAGGGTATATTTGGCAAAATTACAAGAAATTCAGTTTAATATTACAACCATAAAATATATCACCTAAAATGGACGCAAATAATAGAATGTTATTTTATAAATTAAGTTTGGGGAAATTTTTCTTTAATCAGATTCATACTTTGGTTGAAGCACTTCCAGAAAAAAAAAAAAACAGAGAGGGGTCGGTTGAAAAGCCGTACAATTCGTTGATATAAATAGTAGCCACATTCTACGTTAGGGAAGGACAGCTCCTTTTTCGAATTTGAAAGAGGAGGAGAAGGAGGAGAGATCTCTGTTTCGTTCGCTCTTTTATCCGCAATTTCGCTTTTTCTTCCGTCAGGTAAAATTATGTTGTTTCTCTTCAATCTCTCTGTATTTTGATTATGTTTTCTTGGATTAGAGTTTCGGTTGGAATTTGAGAACCCTTGATAGATGTGCATCTCTATGTTTGAGATGGTGTGCAATATTTACTACTCTTGAGGAATTTTTGTTACTTGAGGTTCGATCTTACTTTTTTAACATGTTCTTATGGATGTATGATCTAGATCTATTCATCTGAGAGGTTTGCGTGGTTGATCTGATTCACATTTGTCTGGATCTTTTGATATCATCTAATTTGTGGCCAGATCTAGATCGGCCTTGTGAATTCGTTACGGTTTGGTAGATCTTGTCTCCGTAGTGGATTACCGGATAGATCATGGTCAGATGTTAGTTTTTTATTTTCTTTTTCAGTCATAAGCAAATGGCAAGATCAAGTGACAGATTCTTTTGAAGCTTGTGCTCGAATCATTACAACCTGCATTGGTTTTATCAATTTTATTCGTCAAATTTCTCTTATATATGTATCAGGGGTTGGTTGCCCATGCTTGTATCCACGTGTCTAATTTTACAGTTTAGTTTTCCTTTTGCTATCCACATTAGATAATGAAATGCCATGTTTTCATGATATAAGTCTATCACATGGGGATACCTTTTGAGATCTAATGTCATTGAGTTTTGCAAAATTCAGGTGCTGTTCCCCTTTTTCTCTTATATCTTTTCCATTTTCTTCTTTTAGAGATATCTTGTAGATGGCTATGAAGCTTTTCGTTGCAAAACTGCACTGTTTGTTGTCTGTATAAAAACCTTCTAAGTTAACCTTTTCATTCAAAGCCGTATTATTTTCACAATAAATATATTGATCCTGGATTTTTGGACTTTCAGACACAATTATGGGGTTATCTTTCACCAAGCTCTTTAGTCGGCTGTTTGCGAAGAAAGAGATGCGCATACTGATGGTTGGTCTTGATGCTGCTGGTAAAACAACCATTCTGTACAAGCTCAAGCTGGGAGAAATAGTCACTACAATTCCCACCATTGGTAAGCTGTATGAAGTTAGAGTTTCCACTAACAACTTCCTGTAGAATTTATGCACCAGTTTAGCTGGATGAACTCGTGTTTGAATCAATATGGAACTTCTCCAACATTTGATTTAAGCCTTAATTTCTTTGTTATAATTTATTATTATGATATTGGTTTTGAAACTCATATACGTTGTGGTCAGGATTTAACGTGGAGACTGTGGAATATAAGAACATTAGCTTTACTGTTTGGGATGTTGGTGGCCAAGACAAGGTACACAAAATTCATAGTTCGTACATAGTAGCTCCCTTTCATGAGTGCTGTCTTCAGTCTCATGCCAAGTGGGATAATATATTCCTCTATCTTTTGATTATTTTTTAGGACACAGTAGGCAGCTTATACCTTGCAGTTCTATAATTTGATTTTGCTCTTCAAAGTTTTGGTTTATTTCTTTTTTTTTTTTTGGTTTCTAACTGTAATTCATATGAAAACATGAATAGTTGGATCCCCTGGATTTGGCAAATCCACTTAAAAGTTTGTCTTCTTTTCACTTGATTAATTGAGCCATGGATTTTTCTTCCCCAGATCCGCCCTTTGTGGAGACATTACTTCCAAAACACTCAAGGACTCATCTTTGTGGTAGATAGCAATGACCGTGATCGTGTGGTTGAGGCAAGGGATGAACTGCACAGAATGTTGAATGAGGTTGCAGAAAGCCCTAGCACTTTTTGATACTTGCACACATCTTCTAAGATTCTTTCACTAGCATTTTATTAGCCAGTTCATCTCACGGTGTTCGTGCAATGATTTAGAATTTGTTGTCCTTGCCAGGATGAATTGAGGGATGCTGTGCTGCTAGTTTTTGCCAACAAGCAGGATCTTCCAAATGCAATGAATGCTGCTGAGATAACTGACAAGCTTGGACTTCATTCTCTTCGCCAACGCCACTGGTTCTCTCTCTCTCTCTCTCTCTCGTGCAAAAGAACATGCAAGGATTTACTGGACATCATCACTAGTCAGGCTGAACCCCACTGAGTTCAAATATATTGTGCATTTCAGGTACATCCAAAGCACTTGCGCTACCTCTGGTGAAGGTCTCTATGAAGGGCTGGACTGGCTTTCAAACAACATTGCAAACAAGGTGGGCCCATGTAGTTAATGAAATAGTAACATATCCAAGTGTCAAGTTTAGATCTATGTTCTTTTAAGAGATTTTGATTCTATATTGTTTATTGGGTTTGTTGTTTGTTTGATGCAATTGCAGGCATAGGCAACTTGATTTGAGACTGAATTGTGAGGGGCAGCAGAACAGACTTCTGATCTTTGTTTGTTTATTTGTTTTGGAAATCTGTAGCTTCTGAATATTTCCTAAATTTTTTATTATTCGTGAATCTGTTTTTCTTTGGTATGTGATGAACACTGGTGCTGAATTCTGATGTTTATTTGAGGTTACCGATTATTATTATTGAGTAGTGAAATGAGAGTAAAAACCAACAGCAAATGTTTGATCTTACAAAAATGACATTACATGTTTTCTGATTCTTGCTTTTCAAGAATATGCAAAATTGAGTGCCATAAAGAATATTAGGCCCAAGAATATGACACGTGACAGTGGAGGATCCTTATATTGTTCTCTCGTAGAGTAAACAGCATCATGACTTGGGCTGATGCATATGGAATGCTTCTGTTATGACTTTGCCGACTCTACAGTCTGTGCAACTCGGTGTACATAAGCTTCTTAAGGCTGTTTCTGAAATCTAGACTCCCCCTCAAATTTTTTCGTTTTATTGGATGCTGCCAGATGGAAGACACATAAAATCAAGTATATAATTCGGTTCCTCTGTTAATTGAGAGAATAATTAAACTAGAATTTGACAGTGTTTAATTCTGTGTTATATCTGTTATGGTTTTGAGATGGTATGAGATGTTTGTTTTCCCATAACCCTGGAATGCTGTCTCAGTATACTCTTGCTTACCAACTTCATAGGAGAGACAGTTCAAAGTTACGATTGGAAGGTATGTGTCCGTTAGCTGTTTTTTTCCGGAAGGTAATGTTTCCGTTAGTTGAAAAACAAAAAAAAAATTCAGAAAAGCAATGAAAAAGTGGTATATTAATAGAAGCAAATGGTAACTACCGGAAAGAAATTATTTTAACTCAGCTAATTATGCTTTTTTTCTTTTACAATTTTAACAATCACTTCTTCTTTCTATAGCAACAAAACAGTTTCTATAATTAATTGAATTGTTAAATATGTATCTGTTCTGGTGATTTTTGGCACAATGGTGAGATAAAAACATTTTGATTGACACTCGAGGGTTGCTTTGCAATATGAAAGTGACGAAAGACTTGAGAATCACAGAAAAAGATTAGAAGGGAGGCTGGAGATGTTTTTAGAGATTCCCCTCCGATGTTTAAGTTAGTGTCGGAAGAGCAAGTGAGACAATGTTCAGTTTTATGGTTGAAGAAGTGATGTGTATACCTCTCTTTTAATTAAGAGTGTTATTTATACCTTCATGTTAGATGACATTTTTATCGAGGAAACCTCGTATGATTCCTCTAGGTGGGAGGCTTTTTGATGGTTAATCCCTAAGACTACAAGGATGTCTTGCTGACTTTATCAGGTGGTTGGGCATCGAGCTAATTTCCTCTTTGACCTCGATTCCTGATCCTTTTATGCGCGTTCACAAGAAGCGCATTATTGACATTAATCCTTTGGCATCCGAGTCTTTGCCGATTGTTAACCGCAAGATATAATGTTGAAGAACTCCCTTGTAGTAATAAATGTCTAACGCTACTCATCACACCGAGAGGTAAATGCTTTGTACCCAGAGGTAAATGCTTTGTACCCATTCTCCTCCAAGCATAAATTAATTTTCATATGTTCATGAGGAGCATTTATTACCTGTTGTCATAGTTTTAAGGATCTTTTTCATGATTGGCTGCAGTGTGTCATCATACCTTAACTTGATTTGACAGTAATAAAATAATGGACTCACACTGATTGACAATTGAGTATGAATCCTCGTAAATCGTTTTTCTCGTATATTCCTAAGTAGAAATCCACAATGCATTCCCGACGATCATAGTTCCTCGAGTGATGTCATATACGGTGATATCACCTTCAAGAGGACTCATCCATTATTACAACTTCTCCCCCAAACGACGTCAGTCACATTAGCTCGAGTGACATCATCCTCGACAAGACTTTGTCGTCTTTTTATTGTCGTCACTTTTGATAATACACAAATTGAGTTTGTACACCACTTATCAGATAAGCAGTAATAAATACAGTAATTAAGAGAGACACAAGCAAGACAAGGTTTATAGTGGTTCGGTCAACGTGACCTACGTCCACTTTGAATAACTAGGATCAACAAGTATTTTATTATTTCAAGTGCGCAGAGAGAGCAGAGAGTTACAAGCTTTGAGAAGGAGATGAGAGTTGTGCTCGACTGAGTGTGATGCCCTCCAAGTGTTGGCGGGATTTACAATTTATAGTCGCTTTATAACAGATTTGGGCGAGATATTAGTAACTAAGTGGCTAGTCTGTTAGATCTGACGACCTTTTCTCAACGGGCGAGGCGATTACGGTGCTCTCCATGAGATTCGGTCAAAAGATGATGTGGGGAATTGACCTTTCCAAAGTGGCGTGGATGGGGCTCTTGGATGACCCTACATGCTCTCCTGCTGATGTAGCTCCTCGAACCTGATGAGCATGATCGGGCGTGGACCATTTTGGGCTAAACTTGTTGGATCTCTTAGAGTTGGGCTATTAATTCAGATTAGGCTTATAACATGAGTTGGGCCCGTAGGCTTGACCCATCATTTGCCCCCTAATGCCCTACGTCCAATGAAACTCAGAGAGGAGGGCATTCAGTTGAGTTTGAATTATTGGCTGAACGTATCACTGAAAAAATTTGGTGGCCAAAACATATATTTTTAGGCCTTTTTTGGGATTTTAGCAGCGTCTGTCATAGCCAAAGGTAATGAGTCTTGTAGACCTCGCCGAGAGCTTTTATTTGATATATTATGGGTCATATTTGGAGCAACAGATCAAAAGCTGCGGTCAAAATAGCGATCAACCCATCTTGAACTCGAATTTCTTGAAGACTCCTTTTGATTGGTGTGTCCTTCCCTTCCTGTAGACTCCTTTTGCCTGTGGGACACCCTTAGTTATATAAACTCCCTCCTTTGCTTCCCTTTTTGGATTCTTGAATAGCCCTAGGTTATAAATTAGGCCTTTTTGCTTTCCTTAATAGGATTTTTAAAACCCTAGACTATAAATAGGAAACTTCTCCTTCATTTTACCCATTCCATATAACTTTGAGTGAGGAAGGTAGAACTCTTCTTGAATTCTTCCAAGAACACATAGGTGAGATATTTTGAGTTTGAGCACTTTGATCAATGTCGACTGGAGAGGAGTTTGTGAACCTTGGTGGAAAGCCAGGAGAAATTGGAGTTGTCCTTAGAGAGGAGAGGGAGGCAGATGGCGCCAGAGTAGAGGCGCTAGGCGCCCGCTGTCCGTGCAGGCGAGACAAGGGAGGAAAAGGCTGGTGGGCGAGCAGGGCGAGCGGTCAAGGCCGCTGTTCGGGTGTTGCCCAGCGCCACCCAAGGAGTGTCGAATGGTAGGCAAGCTACTTAGTGAGGCGAGGGGCGAGCAGCCCTTGTGGTCCGCAATGGGCAAGCAGCCCCTGTGGTCTGCGATGGGTGAGCAGCCCATGAGGTTGGCTAGCAAATTGGGCGCATGGAGAAGGCGCTGCTATGCGCGCGAATGAGACCAATGCTAGTGGGTGAGCAGCCCATGTGTTCATCGAGCAGATTAGGCGCGTGGAGGAGATTGGGGACGCCGAGGCCGAGGCGACCCAGGTGAGCATGGAGCCTTTGGGTGAGCTGAGCAACGACGTAGGTGAGGGATGGCCAAGGCATGGAGGAGGAGCTTCAAGGCACTGGGGTAAGCACTGATGGGCTCCCAGGCGCTGCTGTGCACGTGGATAGGGCGGGCATAGAAGCCTTTGCTATGCTCGGGACTGTTGGGCGCACAGCACAAGAGGCAATAACTCTGGGCACTTTTCATGGTGATGAGCCTAGTAGTGGCTCAGGCACCCCTTCACGCCCTTGCAACAAACAATACTGGAGAGTTTTGTTGTGCTTTTATGGTATTGTGGAGGAAGGTGCATCATGAGGATGCCTCTCCGAACGAGTTTCATACAGCTTATACTTTGAGCAAGACTCCTGCTCCTAGTCGAGGTTATTACTATTTTACTACGAGAGGCAAGTTGATTACTGGATTGCGCTCCAACTGTTATAGCTGGAAGTCTCGCTTCATATTTATTGGCTGAGAATGGGCTTTAGAGGCCGATAAGGCTTTGGTATCAACAAGATGGGGGTACCCCTAAGAAATTTGGTACGCCCTACACTTACTTTCTATCCTTTACTTTGTGTTTTTCATCTAGATAACATTTTATTTCCTTTGCAGTGGATAGAATGGTGGTTAGGTCCCACCTTTCTAGTAGTAGCACTCTTTTTCCTAAGGTGGCGAGAATGAGCGATGCCCCCCAAGTGACCTCTCTAACGGTGCCACCTCAAGCAACCCCTCCAGTGGTGTCTCGAGTGGGCTCCCCTCAAGGGACACCTCCCGTGGTGCCTCCTTTGTCAGCAACTCCTTCTGTTGTGAGCACTCTAGAGATTCCCCTGTCAACCACACCTTTTTCCCTCATTCGTCCACTCATCCTGTGGGAACTTCTACAGGGACATTGATTCAGACTAGTCCCATGCTGGGCAACCCGTGAGTCATCAGGGAAAGACTTGAGAGGTTTGTGTTTCTGCCCAAAGTTCATGAGATTAGTACTCTGGGCATTGAAGGAATGATCAACTCATTTGTGGAAGGCCTGACTCAGGTAAGGGTTTATTATTTTCCTTTCTCCAATCCTTCCCTATGCATTTTGTCATTCCTCTGTCTTTTTCCTTTTTTAGGCTACAACTGCATCTATATGTTTGCTTTTAAGAGCCCATTTTTATAGCGAGCTAAAGCTTAGTCATGAGGCTGTAAAGAAGGAGCTTCTCACTGCTTAGGGTAGGATTGTTGAGTTTGAAACTGATGATAAGGCTTCTCAGGCTGAGCTTGTAGTGACCCATGAGAAGGCCGCGCTTAGGAAGGCTACCTGTTTAAGAGCGGAGACAAAGCTTTCGGCAGCTCATGAGAGGGCGGCTAAGCTTGAGACTGAGCTTTCGGTGACCCGTGAGAGGGACACGCTTAGAGAGGTTGAGCTTGTGAAAACTTGCGAGAGAGCCATGCTTAGAGAGGCTGAGCTTGTGGAGGCCCGCAAGAGGGCCATGCTCAGAGAGGCTGCCTGTTTGAGAGCAGAGGCAGAGGTGAAGACAGCTCACGAGAGAGCTTCTCAGGCTGAGGAAAGGGTAGTCATAGCTGAGAGTGATTTGGAGAATGGCCTTGCAGATGCCTTTATTGATGGTTATGAGGAGCTTCGAGCAAAGATTTCTGTTGTTGTTCCTGATATTGATATTTCAGACTTCCTGCCATCTGAGGCGCCTGATGATGGTGATGGAGGATCTGACGATGTTGAGAGTGATGAGGATAAGGAGGAGGACGACCATGAATGTAGTTAGAGGGCTGGAGACTTTTGATTTTTTTTTTAGAAAGACAGTTTGTAACCTTACTTTTGTAAAAGTGAATTTTTGCCACTAATGCTCATTTGAAATTGAATACAAAAATGCAAAGATCTTTTAGAGTAAATCTAGAAATTTTTATTCATTCACTACTTATGTCAAGCAATATCGGGCAATAGCCCCAAAAAAGTACATTGAATAAAATCAAGTTCCCCAACTTTTTTATTTATACTCTTTTAAGGTGCTATTGGTAGTACCTCTTCAAGTGCTCAGTGTTCCACGGATAGGGTAAGACCTTCTCCTCAGAATTCTGGATCTTGTAGGTGCTTGGCCTCACTACACCTGTTATGAGGTAGGGTCCTTCCTAGTTTGGTCCCAACTTTCCTTCTCGCGAATCCTTTGTGGCGAGAATCTCCTTCTTGAGGACCAGGTCTCCTGGCTAGAAGGAACGAGGCTTCGCCCTTGAGTTGTAATATTTCGTCATACGGTGTTTGTACTCTACGTTGCAGACCACCGCTATTTCCCTTGCCTCATCTATCGACTCGAGATTAATGCAGAGTCCTTTCTCATTGGTAATGGGGTCGTGGTGTTGGACACTTAGAGAATGTACCTCGATCTCCATAGGGATAGCTGTCTCAGTTCCAAAAGCGAAGGTTCTAAAGGCGAAGGAGAAGGGGGATTCTCTGGTTAGAGCTCTTGGTGTGGTTCGGTGGTCTCATAATACTCTTGAGAGTTTGTTAGCCCAAAGACCCTTCACTCTTTCAAGCCTTGTTTTTAGGTTGCGTAATACCGTTCTCACCATAACTTCTGCTTGTCCGTTTGCCTGTAGGTACGTTGGGCTAGAATGAGGCTGCCTTATCTGAAGGTCAGAAAAGAATAAGTTAAAGAGTTTGTTATCGAATTGCTTAGCATTGTCATTAACAATGGTTTGAGGAATCCCGAAGCTACAGACCAAGTTTTTTCAGATAAAGTCTTTAATCTTCACGTCTATTATCTTTGCCAAGGGTTCGGCCTTTGCCCACTTAGTGAAATAGTCAACAACTACCACCACAAACTTGCATCGTTCTCTGCTCAGAGGTAGGGGGCCTAGAATGTTGATGTCCCATTTGAAAAAGGGCCACAGATTTGTGATAACTGTCAGCTCCTCTAGCGGCTGCTTAGGCACAATGGCGAAGTGTTGACACTTGTCACACTTTGTGGCGAACTCCTAGGCATCCCTCACTATGCTAGGTCAGAAGTAGCCCTGTTTGAGTGTTTTGTGGGTGAGGGAATGTCCTCCAGAATGATTCCCACAAACCCTTCGTGAATCTCCCGCATGGCATAATGGGCTTCTTTGGGTGAAAGACACTCAGTAATGACAAGGAATAACCTTTCTTGTACAAGGTTTCTTGTAAGATGGTAAACTTGGAGGCTCTCACTTTGAGTTTCTTGGCCTCCAGGGGGTCATCTAGCAACACACCCTCTTAGAGGTATGCCCTTATCGGGGTCATCCAATTTGATTCGGCAGAAGCACAGTTAACGTTTGTGACTTCCACGTCTAGCATGCTTGGTTCAAACTAGTGAGCAATGAATGCTGGTCCTGGTGGAGCTTCCGAGGATGAGGCGAGTCTGGTTAGTACATCCGCAGTCATGTTGTCCTCCCTTGGTATGTGACAGATTTGGAAGCATTGAAACTTTGTGATCAAGGCTTTCACTATGGCAAGGTACTCCTTCATTCTCGTTCCTCTTACTTTGAACTCGCCCTTTACTTGGTTGACTATCAACTGAGAGTCATTATAAAAGATGAGATGTTGGGCTTCCATCTCTATTGCCAACCTTAGGCCGGATAGGAGGGTTTCATATTCTACGTCATTGTTGGAGACGGTGAAGTGAAACTTCACAGCATACTTAATTAGAGTTCAATCGGGACTAATTAGGATTAGGCCTGCTCTACCTCCCTTGTTGGTCGATGAGCCATCCACATAGAGTTTCTAGAGGAGTAGAGAAAAGGGCTCAAAGATTATTGTGGGAGCCAAGGTGTTTGTACCTGGTGTACCCGGACGTCTAACTGGAGTGCCTGGATGTTTACTGGGGTGCTTGGATATCCTTACCGAGCGTCAGGTTGTTTTGTGTGTTCGGGCTCGGCATTTGAGTGTTCAGATATGTTAAAGTTTGCTGAAGTGTAGAAGACTCCTCCTTTGCCTGTGTGAACTCAACAATAAAATCTGTCAAGGCCTATGCTTTGATGGCCGCCCTTGGTTGGTACTGGATATCAAACTCGCCCAGTTCTATTGCCCACTTAAGGAGTCTCCCGAACACGTCCGGCTTTTCCAGTACTCTCTTCAGAGGTTGGTCTGTGACGACAATAATGTTGTGCCTTTGGAAATAATGTCGTAGACACCTTGTTGTTGAAATCAGGGCGAGCGCTAGCTTTTCTAGCCTTGAATATCTGATTTCTACCTCTCGATATGCTCTGCTCACATAATAGATAGGCTTTTACACTTCATCATTGTCTCTGATGAGGACGGAGCTTACTATCGATAGAGAAGCAGAAATGTATAGATATAAAGTTTTACTTGTTGTAGCATGTGAAAGGAGGGGAGGCATAGCCTAGTAGGCTTTGAGCCTTTGGAAGGCTTCCTCTGCCTCAGGTTTCCACTCGAAGGCTTTTCGGGGAATCTTGAAGAAAGGCAAGCATTTGTCTGCAGACTTGAAAACGAATATGTTAAGTGCTGTAATTCTCCCATTGAGGCGCTGGAGCTCCTTCGTCGAGGAGGGTGACTCCATCTCGAGGATGGCCTTGATCTTGTCGGAGTTCGCCTCAATTCCTCTCTGGTTGACCATGAAGCCTAAGAATTTTCTTAACCCTACGCCAAAGGCACACTTCTCAGGATTCAGCTTCATACGGTATGAACTGAGAACCTTGAAAGTTTTGTTGGAGGTGGTCAATATGGTCTACTATGACAACACTTTTCACCAACATGTCGTCCATGTAAATCTCCATTGTTCGTCGAATTTAAGACTGGAACATTTTGTTCACCAACCATTGATAGGTTTCTCTTGCGTTCTTTAGTTCGAAGGGCATGAGCTTGTAGCAGTAGGTTTCCTTTAGAGTGATAAATGATGTCTTCTTCTAGTCTGGGGGGTGCATGCTGATCTAGTTATATCCAGAGTATGCATCTAGGAAGATAAACAATTCATGTCCTGCGATGGCATTGATGAGGAGGTCAATCCGTGGAAGATAGTAGCTATCTTTTGGGCAAGTCTTATTGAGCTCGATAAAATCAACACAGAGGCGCCACTCCCTATTGGTTTTACTAACCATCACCACGTTTGAGAGCTACTCAGGATATACTACT